ATGGCTGTAAGTTCTTACCTATCAATAATTACTTTGAGCTGAGATAGAGCCACTGCACTCCAGCTTGGGTGACAGAGCAAGGCTCTGTCTCAAAATAAATAAATAAATAAATAAATAAATAAATAAATAAATAAAACTATACGGAGTGGCTGCATGAATTTTAAAAAATAACCCAACAACATGCCAGAAGAGACTTCCTTCACCTTTCAGGACACACATAGATTGAAAGTGTAGGGATGAAAATAAATATTCCATGCAAATGGAAACTAAAAGAGATTAAAGGAAATCTATATATCTATATGCAGATATAATTACTTCAAACAGACTTAAAAACTGTAAAAAGAGACAAAAGAAGATCTTTATATAATCAGAAAGAGGTCATTTCATCAAAAAGATATAACAATTATAAATATGTATGCACCCAACATCAGAGCACCTAAATTTATAAAGCAAATATTAATAAATCTCAAGAGACAGACTGTAATGCAATAATAGTAGAAGACTTTAATACCCCACTTTCAGCAATGGACAAATCATACAGAAAACAAGTAAATAAAACATCAGACTTAACAAATTTCGTGAGATTAAAATCACATCAAGTATATTTTCCAACCACAATGGCATAAAACTAGAAATCAATAACAGGAGGAATTTCAGAAAATTCACAAATACATGGAAATGAAACAACACGCTCCTGAACAATCAATAGGTCAAAGAAGATATTAAAAGGGAAATTAAAAATTACCTTAAGATAAATAAAAATGGACACACAACATACCAAAACCTATGTGATGCAGCAAAGTCAGGTCTAAGAGAGAAGTTTATAGGATTAAACACCAACATCGAAAAGAAAAATGACATAAAAAATAACCTCAGAGTACACCTCAAGGAACTAGAAAAAGAACAAACTAAGCCTGAAGTTAGAAAAAGAAAATAATAAAGATCAGAGTACAAATGAATGAAATAGAGACTAGAGAAACAATAAGTCGATGAGACTAAGAAGTTGGCTTTTTGAAGATAAACAAAATTGATAAACCTTTATCAAACTAAGAAAAAAGAGAGATGATTCAAATAAAATAAGAAATCAAAGAGGAAACATCACAACTGATACTATAGAAATGCAAAGGACCACCAGAGGCTACTATAAGCAAGTATATGCCAACAAATGGAATAACCTAGAAGAAACAGGTAAATTCCTAGACACACACAATTCTACCAATAATGAATCAGGAAGAAAAAGAAAACCTAATCAGACCAATAACAAGTAGATGAATTAATAAGAAACACTTTCCCATCAAAGAAAAGCCCAGGACCTGATGGTTTCATTGCTGAATTCTACCAAAAATTTAAAGAACAATTCTTTTCAAATTCTTCAAAAAACCGAAGAAGAGTAAATACTTCCAAATTCATTTTGTGAGGCCAGCATTACCCTGATGTTAAAGCCAAAGACACTACAGGAAAAGGAAACTATAGGTCAATATGCCTGATGAACACAGATGCAAAAATCTCAAAAAAAAAAAAAAAAAAAATGCTAGCAAACTGAATTCAACAGCACATGAAAAGGATCAGTCACCCTGATCAAATGGGATTTATTCCTAGGATGCAAGGATAGACCTTGTCAACAAGTGCAAATCAATGTGATTCATCATATTAACAGAATGGACAAAAAACATGTAATCATCCCACTAGGTACATTTGATAAAATTTAACATCCTTTCATGTTAAAAACTCTCAACACATTAGACATAGAAGAAATGTACCTCAGCGTAATAAAGGCCATATACGACCCACACACAGCTGACATCATACTTGATGGTAAAAAGTTGAAAGCTTTTCCTCTAAGATCACAAATAAGGATGCAACACAGTACTGGAAGTCCTACCCAGAGCAATTACTCAAAAGAAAGAAAAGGCATTTGAATTGGATAAGAAGTTACATTTTCCCTGTTTGCAGGCATGATCTTATATATAGAAAACCCTAAAGACTGTAGCAAAAAAAAAGTTAGAACTAAAAAACAAATTCAGTAAAGTTGCAGGAAACAAAGTCAACATACAAAAATCAGTAGCATTTCTGTACAATAAAAAACAAACTATCTAAAAGAGAAATTGAGAAAACAATCCCATTTACAATAGCTACCAAAAGATTAAAATACTTAGGAATAAATTTAGTCAGACAGATGAAAGACCTCTACATTGAAAACTATAAGACATTGATGAAAGTAATGAAAGTCAGGTGGGGTGGCTCACGCTTATAATCCCAGCACTCTGGGAGGCCAAGGTGGGTGGATCACCTGAGGTCAGAAGTTGGAGACCAGCTAACATGGCGAAACCCCATCTCTAGTAGAAATACAGAAATTAGTTGGGCATGATGGTACGTGCCTGTAGTTGCAGCTACTCAGGAAGCTGAGGCAGGAGACTTGCTTGAACCTGGGAGGAGGAGGTTGCAGTAAGCTGCGATGGTGCCACTGCACTCCAGCTTGGGTGACAGAGTGAGACTCTGTCTCAAAAACAAAACAAAACAAAACAAAACAAAAAACAGAAAAGGAATTGAAGAAGACACAAATAAATGGCCCAACAAATAAATGAAAACACATCCCTTGTTAATGAACAAGGAAGAATTTATGTTGTTAAAATGTCCATATTACTCAAAGCAATCTGCAGATTCAATGCAATCCCTATTAAAATTCCAATGACTTTTTTCAAAGAAATAGAAAATTCAAAGATTCATATGAAACTACAAAAAAACTTTGAATAGCCAAATAATCTTAACCAAAACAACAAAGCTAGAGGTATCATATTGCTTGACTTCACAATGTACTACAAAGCTATAGTATCCAAAACAGCATGGTACTGTCATTAAAAACAGACACATAGACCAGTGGAACAGAATAGAGATCCTGGAAATAAATCCACACATTTATAGTCAATTGATTTTCCACAGAGGGTAGGAATACACAATGGGGAAAAGATAATCTCTTCAATAAATGGTATTGGGACAGCTGCATATTTCTGTGCAGAAGAATAAAATTAGAACCTTATCTCATACCATATAAAAAATAAACTCAAAATAGATTAAAAACTTAAATGCAAGACCTGAAACTATAAAACTACAGAAAACGGGGTAAAAGCTTCATGACATTGGTCTGGACAATGATTTTTTTGGATAAGACTTCAAAAGTACAGGCAACAACAACAAGAATAGACAAATGGGATTACATCAAACTAAAACCTTCTGCACAGCACAGGAAACAGTCAACACAGTAAAGGGACAATCTATAGAATGGGAGAAAATAACTTCAAATCGCACAACTGATGAGAGGTTAATAGCCAAAATATATAAGGAACATGAAAAACTCAATAGCAAGGAAACAAATAACCCAATTAAAAATGAGGCAGATGACCTGAATAGACATTTCTCAAAGAAAGACCAATAGGTATATAAAAAATGCTCAACATCACTAATTATTAGGGAAACGAAAATCAAAACCACTATGGGATATCACCCCATACCTGTTAGAATGGCTATGATTTAAAAAGATGAAAAATAAGTATTAGAGAAAATATGAAGAAAAGGGAACACTTACACAATATTGATGGAAATGTACATTAGTATGATCATCATGGAAAACAGCATGGAGGTATTTAAAAATAAAGAACTACTATATGGTCCAGCAATCCCAGTACAGGGTATTTATCCAAAGGAATTGAAATTAGGATCTGGAGAGTTATCTGCACTCCCATGTTCACTGCAACATTATTCACAAAAGCCAAGATGTGGAATCAATGTAAGTGTCCATCAACAGAGAAATGAATAAAGAAAATGTGGTATATATACATAATGGAATACTATTTGGCCTTAAAATAGAAGGAAATCCTGTCATTTGTGACAATGTGGATTAACCTAGATGACATGTTAAATAAAATAAGCCAGGTGCAAATACCATATGATCTCACTTATATATGGCATCTAAAAAAGTTAAACACATAGAAACAGAGAGTAAAATAATGGTTCCCAGGCGCTGGGGGTAGAGAACAGTAATTGAGAAGATATTGATCAAAGAATACAAAATTTCAGTTAGGAGAAGTAAGTTCAAAAGATCTGTTGCATGAATGGTGACTGTAGTTAATAGCTGCATTATATTTGTGAAAATTGCTAAGAGTAAATTTTATGTTCTTACCATGAAAAATGATAAATATGTGAGGTAATGCATATGTTAATTAGCTCAATTTAGCCACGCCACAATGTACACATATTTCAAAGCATCATTTTGTACACAATAAATATAGGCAATTTTTATTAGTCAATGTTAGAAAATATTTTTTAAAAAACTAGGTAGTTTACAAAGCTTAAAATATTTGCTATCTGGCTTTTGAGAAAATGTTTGCCCATCCCTGTCCTGGAGTCTTGGAGAGCAAGGATGGCTTTCTATACCTTTTATAGTACCTGGCATTTAGTAGGTACATATTAAATAGCTGTTGAAAGAAGTGAAGGGCCTCAAGGCCCAGCTCTATCCCCTCTTTAACGGGAGGCTCTTTTTTTGGCAGGGCAGGGCTAGACAGGTATGAGTCAGTTCTCTTCTGATAGTCCCAGAGTCTACAGCAAACCAAAGATGAAAGCTCTGAAGGAGAGACACCAGTACTCACAGGTCTTACGTCCATGCTCCATCCAAGAGGACCTAGCTACTTCCTTACCCCTTCTCAGTTTCAGGAGAAGCAAAGTGTTGGAGGTTGGTTAAGACCCTCTCCCACCAATTGCTTTGGTGAACCCTCCAGCAAGGGCATGGCTACTTTCAGGGAAGCAAAGCGGGTCCTCTGCTTCTCTATCCTTCCCAAAAAACATGGGCTGGGCTAGACCCTAAAGAGCAGCCATGGAGGACTGTGGGAAGGACTCACCCTTGCTGTAGAAGCTCTCTGCAAAGCAAGAGGCGGGCTATGGTAAAAAATGCCAATTCCTGCTTAAATTGAACCTCACAGGTGAAAGATGTCAGGCTGTGTGTGGTCACATTGTACATATGCATGTCTGGGGGTTACCAGGCTGTATGCAAATGCACAAGGAGGAGGTAGGCTCTGAGAACCTGCCAGGGCCCCTGGGATGAGCTGTGGATTTTTGTCCCTGATCCCATGAATTGGAGGGTCCTCTGCTCAAAACATATGATATACATCTCTTCTTTTAATTTGGTATCATCTTTAGGTCCAGAAGAGAAAACATTCCCTTCCTTGTACCAAAGTCCTCATCTCAGGTTCCCCGAGTCCACAGAGGGATGCCTCAGACGAACTGGGATCTGAAGGCCTGAGAAAGCACCAGCTTCCACCACTCCCAAGTCGTGGAGGGTATCCAGTAACTGCTCCCGGGCAGCACCAATAAAGCAATTCTCCAGAAAGATGGGCAGGCCTCCCACACCATCACGCAGGGTGTACAGGGGCACTCACACCAGGCCCAGCACCTGTAAAAGTAAGGAGACAGGAGACACTGGGACTCCAGGTAGCTCATGTCACTACCTCCATCCTCTCTTTAGCAGATCTTTCTAGAGCAGATGCCTCAACCCTTAATACTCCAGCAGAAACAAGCCCAAGGCTCCTATTTAAAGGAGGCCCAGTGGACCAAACGCTCTACAAATGACCCAAGACATGCTATCCAGCTCCATCAATGTTAATCCTTATGACATCTGTCCCCTAAAACTCTATTGGCTCCTAACGCCAAAAGTCATGCTTAACCCTGCAACAATGGTTCTCAAAATGGGAAACCTAGACCAGTGTTATCACCATCACTTGGGAACTTTTGAAAAAAACAAATTCTCAGATTTCTGAACCCCTGCCCCCAGGACTTGGGAGTGGTGGAAGCTGGTGCTTTCCTCACCCACGACCAGCATTCTGGGAGTAGAATCTAGTCATTTTGTTTTTATAAGCCTCACAGATGATTCTGATACTTGACAAAATTTGAGAACCACCTCCGTATTCAATCTGTCTCCCACCCTGGCCTTAAGTATTAGGGCCATATCTTCTTCCTAAGAAAAACAGAGGCCCAACAATAAGGGACTAGGGTAGATGCCTGGCCACTTACACATTATCAACAGAGAGCAGCTGAGAGATGTGGATAAGTGTATTCTAGAAAAATCTCTCCAGAGCCCAGTAAAGGGCGAGGTGGGTGGAAATCTTCCCGGGAACTTAGGTTGGCAGTACCATTCAATAAGAGAAGACCAAGATCTCAACTCCACCAAGAAAATGGGGAAGAGGGCAAATTCTGACAGACGGGGACCTCAATCCGAAAAGAGTTTCTGAGGCAAACGAAGGCATTTAAGGGAAAGGAATAGGATACGGAGCAGGGTCCCAGACTGGCCCCACCTCCAGTCCGTGGTCCTTGGCGCCTGTTGCGCTGGACTCCACAGCCGACAGCTGCTCGAGCGTCAGAGACTTGGCATCTGATCCAGTGGGGGAGCTGCGGTAGTCAGGGCGCTCCACACGGAAGGCGGCCGCCGCCTCGCCCAGCTGTTCCAGCAGACCACGGTTCAGCCTGTCCTCCAGGCTGCTGTCTGGCGAGTCCACGAATCCGCCAGGGAAGCCCAGCGAAGCGCATCTGCATCTGCGAGAGGAGGAAGCTGGGATTGGCAGAGACACCCAAGAGTAGCGCCACAGGGAGGGGCAGGGCCATAGTGGAGAGAGGCCGGGCGCGCCCCCTCCTCACTAGTATGGCGTAGCGCAGGGGGAGGCGGCCAAAGAGAATCCCCGGGTCAGGCGCGTGCAGGAGCGCATAGCAGGCATGCCTCCAGCCTGGCCCCAGCGCCAGAGCCTCGGCCAGCTCCAGCCCGCGGGCCCTGGCCACGGCCCGACGCTGCTCCTCCGCTGTCCCAAAGGCTCACGAGGGCACAAGGGCGGGTCTCACCTCGGACCCATCCCAGAGTGGGCGGTGTCGCAAGGCCCCATCCCTTCAGGGATAAGGGGAGGAACCCAGGCACCTTAGGTCCGGGGCCGTGACCGGTGCGGGAGGCAGCCAATCAGGGCGGAGCTTGCAGACCGGACTGATGTCCAGGGCCCAGGAACTTTAGGGAAACCATAAGCAGCCTCTGGGTTGGGCTTGCGGCGGGGCGGGGCTGAAGGTATGGCAGCGCCCTGAACCTGGAGCAAGGCTGGTACATAAACGCCTACCTCACAATCTGGAGTCATCTGGAGTGTCCCAGCAGGTGAGGAAGAGCTGGGGCGCTCAGTTGAGTGCTGGGAGCCAAAGAAGCAATAAGTACATTTGGTTGGGTGTAGAAAGCACAAGGCCTGGGTGGGGGTTAGGAGGAAATGAGGCAGAGTTGGCCTCAGACACCAAGGCCCATCCTAGGGAAATGGGGATGGAGAGGCGCCATGGTCTAACAACTATCTTGAGTGGTGAAACTGAGAGGACTTGGTGACTGAGTGAATGGGGGAAGAGGGAGCGCTGGGCTAGTGGTGGTTCAGAGTTTCCTGGATGTGGTGTCATTTTCTGAGAGGAGGAGAGTAGGAGAAGGGTGAGCAGTGGTAAGTGTAGTTCTAGTCAGGAATTGGGGTGGCCATAGGCAGTGGGCAGCTGATCGTGGGGGTCTGACGCACAGGAAGTGGCACATGGAGAAGTCACAGGGCAGTGAGATTTTCAGGGGAAGTGTGGGGGTGGAAGGAGCTGTGAGTGAAATCCTGTGGCCCAGGACTGGGAGTGAGGAGGGGTGAGAGGTAGAAGCCTCCTAGGCTTTCTAGTGTTTCCCTCACACACCCTGAGACCTCTGAGCTGTGAAGGAGGGTGGGTTACCCTACCCCTAGGGCAGAGGCCTACTCAGGGCCTGATGCTGAGATGCAGGATCCCTCACCCCAGGCCATGCCTTCCCCACCCTGCAGAGCACCCCTATACCAGGTGTCGATATTGATTATGCAATAGAAAGCAGAAGGCAGCTCCTTGAGGGGGCCTGGGCATAAATTTACAGCCTGTTAAGTGACAGCATGTGGTGGGAAAGAGTCCGGACCCACCCAGAAACGAGTTTATGACCTTAACAAGCCACTTAACTCCCTCAGATCCCAGCAGCTCATCTGTTCAGTGGAGATGATACCAACCTATTAGCGATGTTGAGATATGTAAAGCACTTATAACAGTGCCAGGCAGAAAGTAAATGTAGCCATTCTTGGAGTCGAGGGTTGGGGCACAGTGCTATGTGTTATGTTAAAGACCCAGGGGTTGGAACTCAGCCACACTCATCAAGGATGAAAACTGTTGGGCATCATTTTTCCTAGCTTAGTCTTCTGAGTTACAGGGTGGACATGCCAACTACTAACATCAGACGGCCAGATCAAGGTGATAAAGCTGTAGGTGTGATACAATCCATGTTGGCCTGCTATCATTCTGGGGACTTGGAAATGGCCCTGGCTTAATGTTACACTCACCTTGCTCTAAAAGCTGATAGCAACTGCCAATTTCAGGGTTCCAACCAGACCAACTGAATCAGAATCTGTGGAGGTAATGCAGGGACATATGTGGCTTTTCAAAGGTGTTTCAGGTAACTAATAGCCAAGGTGGAGAAGAGGTGATCTACCCCTTTCCCCAGCATTTCAAAGGTGACCTTGTCTCCTAGATTAGCTACTTTTAAGGATTTAGGGTTAAACATGCCCTTTCCAGATCTTCAGGCTGTTCTTTCTTTCCTGGTTGCTTGAAGAGATGTTTAAAGATGGACTCAACTATTTATCAGGCAACACGAAATCTATAAAAACCAAGGCAACGGCTATTCAGGAATTAATGCTTTGGAGACCAGAGCTTTTTCTGGATGAAGGAATATGGAAGCCCTAAAGAGCTCCCAACCTTGCCATCCCTTTCAAATCCCTCTCTGCCTCTGCCCCACCTCCCCACCCCCACCAACCATCCCCCATTTCACTATCCTGAGGTAGAATGCCCAGGACTCAAGGCTGGAGGTAGAAGGCTGAGCCACGTACCTAAAGAGCTGCTCCAAGTTCATAGTGGTACCTGGAACCAAAAATAGCTCTGTGGTCAGTCTAGGAGGATGCTAAGGAACCAAATCATTTTTAAAATAATGAGGAAAAGAATTAAGCATTTATCATGCTTTTTAAATTTTATTTATTATTTATTTATTTGAGATGGAGTCTTGCTCTGTCACAGGCTGGAGTGCAGTGGCGTGATCTCGGCTCACTGCAACCTCTGCCTCCCAGGGTCAAGCGATTCTTATGCCTCAGCTTCCCTGAGTAGCTGGGCTTACAGGTGCCCACCACCACGCCCAGCTAATTTTTGTATTTTTAGTAGAGACAGGGTTTCACCATGGTGGCCAGGCTGGTTCAGAACTCCTGATCTCATGTGATCTGTCCACATTGGCCTCCCAGAGTGCTGGGATTACAGGCGTGAGCCACAGTGCCCAGCCCATCCTGCCTTTTTTATATGGGCGCTTCCTCAGGGCTACTAAATAGTTGACGAGAGGAAATTTTTAAGTATTCTAGCTAATCAAAGAAGGAGGAGCCAATAACAATTTTACTTTTTTTTTTAAACTTTAAAGAATTAATGGATCCTAGGGAATGATCATCAATGGTTGCTAACATCATGAAAAGGCAACCAGTTACTGTGCACTTCATGATGGAAGAATACATCACCTCCTATTAATTTTTCTTGCACAAAATTGAAGTTGAATCTCAAGCTAAATACCAATTTTAGAAATATAAAGATGCCCCTTTTTAAAATATCAGGAAGAGACTAGAATGATCCATGTAATAGTGGATTTGAGTTGGAGACATCAGTATTAACTCATGTTTAACTTAATATAGCTACATATGTTTACATAGGGAAATATTTATAGATATCTACACACCTCTTTTATAAAGTCACTAATCTAATTCGTGAGGCCCCTGCCCTCATGACCTAATCACCTCCCAAAGGCCCTACTTCCAAATGCCAATAAATTGGGAGTTAGGATTTTAACATATGAATTTAGGGGGAACAAAAATATTCAGTCAATAGCAATCATGAAATACAATGAAAGTCTGAGAAACTGTCACAATAAAGACTAGCCTAAGGACACATGACATGACTAAATGGATTAGAGAAATCTGAATAAAGCATAGACTTTGTCTAATGATAATGTATCAAAATTGGTTCATTATTGCAAGAAATGTACCATAATGTAAGATGTTAGTTATAGAGTAAATTAGTTGGAATAATGGGAACTCTAGGTACTGTCTCCACAATTTTCCTGTAAATGTAAAAAGCTTTTAAAAATATATAGATGAGTCTTAGTATATTGCCCAAGCTGGTCTCCAACTCCTGACCTGGAGCTATCTTCCCACCTGTGCTTCCTAAAATATTAGGATTACAGGAGTGAGCCACTGCACCTGGCCTGCAAATGTAAAACTTTTTGTAAAAGTTTGTTTTTAAAACACATGAGGATGCAATCAGTAAATCCTAGACTGAAGGAAAGTTTACAAGAAAAATGACCTGGTTTCATTAATAAATGAATTACAGGTGAAAAAGAAACATGGTGGTAGACTCTATACATTAAAAGAGATTGAGGAGACATATCAATTGAAGCAACTGGGCTTTATTCTAATTTGAACAAACAAAAATTCAACTAGTGAGGGACATAAGAATACTGATTGGATATTTTATATACAGGAATTATGGATAATTGAGATGTGATAGTATTGTGGCTATGTTTCTTAAGAGTTATCTTTTAGAGACACATATATTTGAATAAAGTTTTGCATTGTACAAAAGTCTTTCAATGAGAGGATCCCTTTTGGTTCAGGAGAGGGAGAGAGGTAAGAGTGTAGTCTCACTTTTTAGGCAGGAAGAAAACGATAGCAAACATCTGCCATCTGACAGTTATTTTTAAACCATTCCACTTAATCCTCATGAAAATTTCCAGGTGCTTTGAATGCAGAGCCAAGGTTGAGAACTACTAATTTAGAAGAATATACCATGGTGTGAGTGGGGAGGAGATGCCACCAGCAGACAGCTATCAGCTAGAGGCTGTAATTTTACCCAGTTACTTCCTAAAAGTGCTAGATGCTGTTGCTTATTATTATTATTTTTTTTAAGCATTCACATAACCTAAAATCCCATTCAGGAGCCTTAAAGGGGGTGCATTTTCTAGAAGCTAACACTGTTTTTGGTTATTTGCAGGTATAGCATCAAAACTATCCACTGCTCTGTTTTTGGAGTTCATTAAGTAGATCCATTTCACACTATCAGGACAGAATTTTCCAGACACCTGAAGCTCCATGCCTAGACCTTTTATTTTTATTTATTTCTTTATTTATGTCTTTATTTATTTATTTTTGAGACAGAGTCTCGCTCTGTCACCCAGGCTGGAGTGCAGTGGCGTGATCTTGGCTCACTGCAACCTCCACCTCCCAGGTTCAAGCCATTCTCCTGCCTTGCCCTCTCCAGTGCTGGGATTACAGGTGCCCGCTGCCACGCCTGGCTAATTTTTGTATTTTAGTAGAGATGGGGTTTCACCATGTTGGCCTCGAACACCTGACCTCGTGATCTGCCTGCCTCGGCCTCCCAAAGTGTTGGAATTATAGGCGTGAGAGACCTCTTTAACTGAATACCCCACAAGCACCCCAAACTCAAAACACCGAGGAATGAGCTCGGTATTTTTCCCACCGCCCAATCTGCATATCTTCCTGTATCCTCAGCTCTGTGAATGACCTATCTCCTGCCCAGTCACCCACGCTATAAAACTACCAGTCCTCATGGACCAGTCACCCGTGCTATAAAACTACCAGTCCTCACAGATCACTCCATCACTCCTCTACCCATCCAGTCAGTCCTCAGTTCTCTCTCATTATCTCCCCTCAGGATGTCTTGACTTCCTCAGATGCAAGTCAGGCCTTTGTCTTTTCTCACCTGGACAAACCTCCTGCCCTGCTGTCCTGCCTCCAGTCTTACCCTCTTCAAACCTGCTCTCCACCTGGTGCCATGATACAGCTAAAGATCATGTTCATCAATAACTTTGCAGTGGCTGCCCCTAACTACAGGACACAGCAGAGCAAACATGGCAGCATATAGCTGAGCTTTGCCTTCTGTATTGGTGATGTATTGCTGAAACATATTGTAAAATGTATTAACACCATCACAAGAAACATTCATTATTTCACAGTGTCTGTAGGTCAGGAATTAAAAGGG